CTGCCACCCGCCACTCGCCGACACCGTAAGCAGGAAAAATTGTACTAACGTCAGGGTAGTCTGTTGCGGAATGTGCAAATTTATGAGAATCACAAGCTATTATCCTTAAATTTCGAAGCACAGTAGTACAGCTACTAGCGTACAATAGGTATATAATATATTTAATCTTAAGATAAGTTTGCTGAAAGAGGATTAAAATGTCAATGCTCTAGAATTGGCAATTTCACAATATTAATTGAAAAGTATTTGTATTAATCATATATTTGTTTATACAAACATGCAAGTGTAAGGCTTAGTGCAGAAAATGGACTTGTCATTGGTCCTAACGGTAATAAAAGACCGGCTTACTAAGAGCTTAGGGTACCGTACTGGCAGTACTTCTAATGGCAAAGTAGGGAGCAAATAGGTTTGTGTAGATTCTGAAATTGTTTTTTAAAATGTAAAAACAAGTGGACATGCGTCACCGATCAATAATAATCTAGCCAGTATTGCCGATGTGATAATTCTGCTTGGCGACACCGCGTCTGCGCTCACTATTGTTCTGCTGAACCAATAATAGCGCGCATCGAATGCCGACTGCGTAGGCGTAGGCGCAACTTACAAATGCAGAATTTCGATATTCAATGCACTCTCCCCTTAGATGGAAGCGGTGTTGAATGACAATGAATAGTTTGACAAAGGAAATCCTTAAATAAAATTGTAACATGTAAATTCTTTCTAGCGATCGAAAGACGCAAAATAAACTGACTGTGAAATAAGCACCCTTTACCTGGGGGGTAATCGTTGCGTTAAGATGTGATGATGGTCACAATATGACACGATTTAGATTTACGTTACATTACATTTTGAGTTAATTAATTCTTGGTTATCGTTTTAAGCTGATGGATTTATGGCCAATGTCAATAAATAAACAGGCACCACGTGACATGTACAGTCAAATGCACATCAAGCTTGACACTTTGTACTTTGGCCCGTTTTTATCGTAAGCGACATAGACTTGGATTTAAGTCTTAAGTGTCAAGCTTCATGTGCTCTTGACCCCGTACGAGATACCTTATTTCAATCAAAGGAAAGGTGTGCGTTGATGCTATGAAAACAAATAAGGATTTCTACTAGACAAGCATCAGATGTACGGTAAGTAACAGATTCCTGTCCGGTAAATAAGAGTTACGTAAGAGTACCTAGCTCCGGTCCGCCCACGGCGGGTTGGCCGCCAACTGCACAAGGTTAGTATGAAACGTGGGCTGTTAACAATATTGCGTACCTATATATCACATTTTTCCTAAATAACTGTATATTCTCCCACGAAGATATTAAAGTTTGGGTTACGTGTTGAGGACACTTGACAATACGGCAAACGCCCTTGCATTATCGTGAATTCCTGAAAAATGTTGTTCCGCTTTTCAATTTTACTTTGAAACGAATAAGCTGACATAACCTTGACATTTCTTTTCAAGGAAAAGGGTAATTTTTCTCAGAAATGTAAAAGAACTTTTAGTGACTTCGAATTTCTTGAAACTTTCGATTGTTAAGTCTGTGGTGTTTCAAAAAGATATGGACCACAAAAACTTGTGAAGACTTTTGTTAAGTAATAATATATAATAAGTGTACTTTAAACTTTTTACCTACCTAATTGTAATTTTACGGTCGTATAAAATAAGACAAAAAACCAAATGACTGCAAACTGTGGCTCACTTGACCTATTTTCAACGAGAGTATTGTCCAAATTGTGACCAGCAGAGCTGTGAATGGTCAAAACAATTAACCTAGTATGGGTACTTAGTTCATGTATACGAGCGGTACAATAGCCATTGAGTTCTATAGCAGAACGGAGTTCGCAGTGTTAACTAATTTCAAGGATTCATTGGAATTGGATTGTTTTCCATGCGTATAGTGTAGACGAATGCATGGCCAAATACATTACGCAATGAGTCTATCTATATAAATGATTTGCTTTTGGTCGTAAACAAAATGTCATAAGGTTATGTAATGGTAACTAAGTGAAAAGCCGTTACTGCTAGAAATTAGCGTGGTAACAACATACACGTAACTACCGCCGCCAGAAATACGTAATATGGATCTATAGGCAATAGAACGGTAAAAGACGGAAAATACACAGATAATTGTAAAATTATCACAATGCCAAAAATGCGAGTACTGATTTAAAAATCTTTACGAATTATTTTCTCAGTTTATCGTCATGTTTTCTTCCATTTTTGTATAAACAGACATCTATATACTTCCTGAATGTGACATTTAAAAGACATTACCTGTAACGTCTTTTAAACCACGTTCTTGAGTACACTCATCCGGCAATCAAGAGTAAGTGAGTGGCAAACAGTCGTCGACGATTTTATGAGTATTTTACAATAGCATTGCATTAGCGACCGCTGTGTGCCTTGACATTGTACGACACAGTGAACCGCGCACGTGGATCGTAAATCATGAAAACATATGCACAACAACAACATTTTACTAAACTCAGTACTGCACGCAGCCACTGAGGCGGCTGTTTTTTACTACTGTATAGCTGGTGATATTCGTAATGTATACTTTTTATGATGCAGTAACATACCAGTGACTTTCCAATAAATTGTTCTAAACTTGTTTGTTTGATTCTAAAATCAAATCGGTAGTCAATCTAGATCTTAGAGTATGGAAAAAAATAATCTAGATACACGGTAGTGTGTCAACTAACGTTCAGAAAATAAACGGCCGAGAACTGACGGACGGCGTATCTATTACAAGAGCCATTTAGAACTATTTTAGATTGTATAACTTAAAATCTATTTGACATACCCACTTGTAAATTACGCTTGTTTTCCTTTTTTTTTCAATTCATAATTTATTTTAGCAAAGTTTAACAAGAACACGTCCTTATATCATACAAATATTTCAAAAATTATTGAAAAATATAGTGTTGGAAGTTTTTATGTAAACTTATTTGATGATTAAATATTCGTAAATATATCTTATTCATCATTATCAACCCATTTATATGTCCCACTGCTGGGCACGGGTCTCCTTTCAGACGAGGGTTTATGCCATAGTCCGCCACACTCGCCCAATGCTGGTTGGGGACTTCACACGTTTTCCGAGGGTTGTGAACCTTCTTCGACGTGCTGGTTTCACCACGATGTTTTCAAATTAAATTTCGCACATAAATTCCGAGAAACTCAGATGTGGGAGCCCGGATTCGAACCCACGACGCTCTGCTTGAGAGGCTGTAGGTCAAACCATTAGGCTACCACGGCTTATCTTATTACGTATTAATTGGTATAATTTACAATTATAATATTTATATTGCACGAAAGGCGAGTAACTTTTTATAATACTGCATGTAGAGATGCAATAGGCTGTCTTTAGTATACTTATAAAGCTGACAGTTATATAAGAAAACTTAACTGCATTTAAAAATATCGTATGCGTGTAGGTATACTAAACATGTGACACGTGTTTATCTACATTGTTTCGTGATAATTAAATAAAGTGCACTGTCTTCTTATCTACGCGTGAGTTGTAGGCCATTAATAAATGCGGTTTAAATATGTAAACGTACATCAAAAACGCCTAGATATGTCTCACAGAAACAGTTTCGTTTCTCATTAATATTACTTTTATTTCTCTAGGAATTACTGGAAGTCTTAAAGTTAATAATTAAGCGTAAAGTTTCTCGTTTTACGGTATTTCAAGCACTATCTATATAACAGGAACTATTAAGGTCGTTGAGCTCTTGCAGAGTTCCTTTTACAATGCACAGGTATACAAATTACAACACGAGTTAATGCCTTGTCGAGAGGCAGGTTTTGCGAAACCAATGGAAAATATCTGAACAACTAAACTCTGTCATGTGCTCATGATAATATACAATTGCATCCGATTGCAGTGTAAAGACAAACACAAGACCCTAAATTATAAAAGCGAGAATTTCGAAGACAAGAAATGGATTTTTTCTTTTAATTGGGTGTCGTGGCGGATACAAAACAGTTCTCGTTAAATTTGTATCTTAATTTCGAAAATTGTAGCGGACTCTGATGGTGAATCTTGGAAAATCCGTAAAGAATATTTGTATATAACTGTATACCAAAGGTATACGTAATTGTTTGTCTGGTCGCACAAAGAAATCCTGCAGTTACTAGTATGACAACATTAACAAGCTAAATGTCATGTGAAGTCAGCACCTTCAAGTGCGTCTGTGCGTGAGTCAGAGTACGTCATAAAGAGATTTATGCAAGGGCAAGGTTGATACGGCGATTATGGAATGCGTTATAGCTATTATGTATGTTGCCAGCCGTGTCTCTAAATTGCTCGTGTCTTATGTTGGAACAATAAAATCTAGAGGTGTAGAATATTTAATTTTATATAAAAAAAAAAGATGTCCCACATTAGGATGCTCATTCGAAGACGTAGCTATTTCTAATTATCGTTATAGTTCACATATTAAGAACAAGAATGAGGCAGTTTAAAAAACGATGAGTTTTGTGTTAATGGCCACATTGGTGGCAACCATTGAGTCTTCAAGCATTGTTTCAACAACAAAAGCTAAACATACACTCATAATTGCGATATGAAAGCGAGCATGATTCGTGTCACGGTCTAATTGGAATCCGCAGCCGCCGCACGTTCTAGACGGAATACCGCAGTCGTTCTGACCGTTCTGCACCGTTATTCTTTTTGACACACCCGCACATTACCCTTCCAGTAAAACTTACCGCAGAATTTCAAAGAATGTATAACGTCGTCTCGTCTAACGTTTAGGATATTAATCGTACAGGATGCCTAAATTGTATAACTTACCATTAAGTTTTGTAAGTTTCTTGAGTTTTAGTAGTCAGATCAATGAATTTGGAAAATCCTTTGTGCCTATTGAAAGTGTTTTATGAACTTTCAAATAAAAGTGAAACAATTTAAGGACGCATTTGGAGGTGTAATTACAAATTCATATGCTATTGTTGTGAAGGTCATTAACATATCGAATGTCAGCTGGGTTGAAATCTTACCTTTTTCTTGCGTGTGTGCAAGTCTTCATAGTCCATGGCAATACCCTCGTCGCTGAAGGAAGAAGAAGCGGGGGGTGGGGAGGGTGTTCCAGAGCGCCATGAGGATCCGGAACTGCTACTGGCTCCTGGTGATACCGATGAGCGACCACCCCATGCACCTGTACACAAGAAGGTCACTTTAATTACGGTCATGATAGATCGCATTCCGTTAGTGCATATTTGAAATGTATAGTGTATTTTCGTGTTAACTTGATTGGAGTTAAAAGTAAAGAACTAAGGAACATTCGAAAAATTCAAACGTCGTGCAAATTGTGCACGAATAAGCGCTAGCTGTGTCGATAACTATACATTTGCCAATTTCGTGTTGGCCAGGTTACCAATCAAATGCTCTTTTTGCATTGTGATAAGTCCATAATGAATACTGCTTTTTTATTATTTACTGTACTAATAATTTAAATTAATATATATTGTGAACTTATACACTTCACAAAGAAAAGTTATATAAAAAAGATAATAATAGACATCAAATATCTAATTTAAATTAAAAGTTATAAGTGGCATAGCTGCATAATGTAATAAATTACGAAACGGAAACGGCCGGTCACTTTCACTCACAAGAACAGCTATTTTCTCGCGGCCTGCGCCGGCGCTTCGCTGATGACTCGTAAACTGTTATGAGTGGTGCTTACGATCGTTCTCAGTCATATTGCGCTATGTGTCAACTTGTATACAAGTTTCAGTGTTAAATATACGCAAGAGACGAAGAGAATACAAAGATAACCTAAAGTTTTCATAACGGTAGTGTATAGTTCATTACTAAATTAAGGTTTTATCGTCATTAGTAGAGTGAAAAAGTCCAATTTGTAGACGCAAGTTTGGCTTTTCGGAATTAGAGCATCACTGAAATTTTAAGATAAAATCTTACGAATAAGAAATCTAATATTCCAAGACCAGTTTATAATTCCAATTAAGTACACAAGTATTATACTAATTATAGATAATAGCTAAGACATAAGAGTTCGGTAAACGTTACGGGATAAACTTTGCGACGCATATTTCTAGATTTTTTTATGATAGAAAGATGGAAGAATTAGTAATAAAAGGTCGTATGAAATATGCTGGTAGAAGTAGCCCATTTCGTCGGGTCATAACGAATCTCCTATACCTGTCTAGACATCGTCTAGACTACAGTCTAGACCACTATGTTTCGGAGGTTTCACAAAAAGTTAAAACATCAAAGTGTTTTGGGTAGCTACATACATTTTATTTTGACTATAATTACTTACCGCATCAAATTTTACATGTAACACATTTCTGCAACATATCGATTTGTTATTTAAATTTTTTTTTTAAATAAATACTCTGTACCTTCTAGGAAATTACAACCTATATAATTATACATTAGGCTGTAATTAATATCACATAAATTTTCATAATACTGTGATATGTGCCCGATATATGTATTACATACAATTCAAAGTACTATAATATGTTACTAAAAATACAATAGCTATACAATTATAGTTATACAATAAAATAATGGTCACTTCGTAGCGCTACGTCGCGTAGCATTATGATGTGATGTAAGCGCAATTTGTTTTTAACGTATAAAATAATGTAAAACAACTACCGCGTACAAAATTAAAAATACAACTAAAGTAGATCACGTAGATACCTATTGTTTGCAACCAGGCAATAATTAAGTACCAAACCAATTTTATCCAGAAACAATCTAAAATTGACAATGCTATAAAAGTAATATTAAATTTAAGACCAAAAAGTCGTTAAAAACCAAACACAAAGATCTGCAACAAGCACATAGAAAAATTCGTAAGGTGTGCTGGTTCGTTCCATAGCTCAGTTGGGAGAGCGTCGGGCACGGAATGCAGAAGGCGCTGGTGGTAATTTTTCTGAGCGTTCGATTTTTGTATTAATAATAATTAATGCTATGATATTTGTAGCCCTATATTTATTTGTTTTTAACAGTTTAACTAATATGAACGAGAATATATTTGTAAGTCTCTGTAAGTATGAGTAACGATATAATCCCAAAAGTCAAATTATACTGAAAATATTTTACTGACATTTGTAATTGGATATAAAAAACTATCAATTAAATGTTACTTTCGTTGATAGGACATACGTTTGTCTTTAAAGAAAGACATGGGAAACCATGATAGACGGTGGTAAACATTTACCATTAATTCATATATTATTAACATGGTAGCTATAAAGCACAGGAAACTTATGGTGAATATGTCGGCTAAATTTGACCATGCATTTATTGCAACAGATGGCTGGCCTTATCGATTATGTAGTACGTATTACGAAGTCAATTACGGTTTTATGATGATATTTAAGCCCTCTCACATAACGTGCCTTATTAATAATGTTATTGTTTGCTAATGTTTTTAAATAGTACTTGCAATTATTACATAATTATGATTTTATGACGAAATAATTGATACTCGAGATTAATGATATTAAATATAAATTTTCGTCATTTCCTTTACCGTTACAAGTGTTATGAACCTGTACTTACAGTACTGCTACTATCTAACTATGAGTTGGTTTGTTGTTCGGTCGTATCCGTGTCGTAGTCGTTTCATGTCGTTCGACTTACTGGGGCGGGGCGAGTTTGGTGAACAGCTAAGAGACATGAGGACCAGGGCTGCGTTGCATTCATTCATCTGGTCATCTCGCTCGCCGTAGCCCAGGTCACAGGAGCTGCTTGGACCGCGTTTGCGAGACCTGAAATCAAACGGAAATGTTAAATTTATTACATATCCATACATATACGTGTATCTAGGTTCCTTCTAAGGCAGATGATTATGGCTCGTACTGTTTTAATAAGTTTAAGTAGTAGTAAGCTACTTGTGAAAGAGTTCGTCCAGGGTAGTGCCGCCAAGCAGTAATGTGAGCATTACTGTATTACGGTTTTGAATGGTAAGGGTGCTGGTGAAATTACAGCCACATGGGACTTAGTAACTTACGTCTCAGGGTGACGGGTGAGTGGCACTGCAACTGTTATGGACATGCGTGTCGTGTGGCGAGGTTTAAAATGTGTGATACAATATACCACTCGTTTCACAACGCTTACATGCACGAATCGATATTTCTAAACGGCTATTTGCTTTCCTTGAAACGGACACTTAGAACAAGTAGCGCCAACGGCGTTTTTCCCGAACTACGTACCAGGTACACAAACGACGAATTGAATATGATATAATTTAATCCTTAATATAAGAATCCGATACATAAAAAAGACAAGGAGTTACGCTTTTTATTGTGTAATTAATATGATAAAAAGCTTTCAAAAGACAGTCTATCAGATTTTGGAGCTGACATTGTAGTAATTTATAGGTTAGACAGAGTTGCACATCAACAAGTCTAGACACAGATTGTTGACCTCTTTCTGAAATTGTGGGCGCGATGGAGTGAGTGCGACGCTATCGGGGTGTGAGGGGTGCGCGTCGAGTAACGCCGCCATCGCCGCCGCCGCAGTCGTCGGGCGCCAACATGTAGGATTTCGCAGGAATTGCGTAATCGGCGGCGACCCAAAAAAGTAGGTAGGGAGTCTAGATATTTAGGATTGGGTAAGGACGGGGGCGCGTATCCCGCGTGCACTGGTCGATCACCTTACCTTCGCGGGAGGGTCGTTCATCTTCGCCTGGTCGGCGGCCTACCTCACATTGAATGAACTCTGTCTTCAAGGCATTTCAAAGTGTATCTAAACCTGTTTTATAAGTAAAACAAATTATACCTCATCAACTCATCTAATTGGCAATAAAGTTATATAGCCATAAAACATTTTTAAGATTTCGGTACAGAATACCATACGTGTAACGATTAGAAATATTATGAATAAAATTTATGTACTGTAACGCACACACTCAACATAACGCACACAACAACACATATTATATTAATGTTATGACCTTGACTGAGTTCCAATATTGTTTAGCACCTACAGCTCCACAATAAACTCTCTAGTCTCTCTCTAGAAGTAATTTTACTATAGTGGGTGTGTTGAAAAATAAGTTTTATTTTTATTCTATAGATAACTTATGATTACGGCCTATATTCAAACGCTTAGAATAATACTAATAGTGCGAGACAAAAATTTGTCTGCACCGATATTGTGTTTTGAACGGAGCATGATCTATTTTAAATTCAATGTCAAATGACTGAATGAGAATGAAACGTAAAAGACGTTGCAATGACGCAGGTCAAGAAGAACATCTAACAAGTAAATAACGCAGGGAGAACAACATGTGTAAAAGCTGACGTATTTGTCTATTCATTGTCATTGTTAGCGTGATGGTGAATTGGTCGAATTTGAACACAATAAAATATAATACTTACATATATATATAATATATATTATATATTATATATATATATATATATATACATATACATACTTATAATAACGTTAATGTGAACTGATGTTTGTTTTATAATATTTGCTAAATTCTAGTGTGAATTATATCTAGTTGTGGTCTTAGTGCAAGCTAAGGCCCGGAGGAAAAAGTGTACGTCCTTGATACCAGTGGCCGGGGTCGTCAGTGTACATTGAAGAACGCAGATAATTCACCTTTTGCTAAAACTCCCAGTGGAACGTTCTAGCAGAGAAGGCGTAACCTCCGCTGCCGACCGTTCGCACTGTGCATTGACTCACACAGGACCAACGACCTGTAATGTCGGCTTATTTCCATTTATATTTCAAGACAATGAATTTTATTTGACTGAAACTTACGTACTTCGATATTATGTACAATACTAATAAAATTTGTCATCATTTATCGGGTTATCTTGACAGATATAATTGCAAGTGAAATAGTATTGTATGTCGTAATTACTTTTTCAACGTTCGTTGTGCAGGTTAATATAGTGCCGCTAGTGAAGCGATTTTACAATTTACTATTTCTAAAATTTTTCTTTTAATATATTTCTACTTAATGTCATGGATAATAAAGCTGTGATGAATGTACGTGACGCGGTCGAGCTTGAAGCATAGAGCATACACCTTCGGTAGCAACTCAGATAAGTGTGTTCGCCTTAGTCCACGGCCTTCATGGTCGTAGTCCAGGCTGAAATAGATGGCAGGTTGATATTCCAATGCCCAAATTATTAGACAAAGTTTAATATTAGAAATAGTTCTCGAAAATGGTGGATCTTGTTCTACGAAATTGCGCACAAAACATTTATGTCATTAGGTAGACTTCATTTCTTCATTGTTTGGTCTTCTGATTTTTATTTGTACATATTTTGCATTCTTTTCTTTGTTAGGGAATGTCAATTGATTAAACGTGGTATTATAATATGTGGTGTTCTATTTTTTCAAATAAAAAAGAAAGATTAAAAGTGGCGTTTTCTTAAAAATACCGGTTTTAATTTTCCTAAGTGAATAAGAGATGTGTCGTGCTGGAAATTCTCGATCGTGAGCTTTAGTGTAGAACATATGATCTAAATTTACAGGTGTTCCGGGAGGTATTGCGGTGTTCAACAATAGTCTGCGGATTTACGGTTATTATGGTGAAATAAGGCTATTTTTTCAATTTGTATTTCTCGAAGGTTGTACTCTTATGTTTTTCATACATAATCAACGCTGGTGTCGCTCGTCGGCTAGCATAACAAAGCAAGCTCGTCACAAATAGCAGCAACGGTCTGACGTTATTTCCTCTAACCCGATGACGTAATCGCGCTTCGCTGCCCACGCCTGTTACTCACATTGAATTTCGGGAATATTGAAAGAATTCCTTGGTGCTTTGCGCATCTTGTCACGAATGTAATGAGAACGAGAGCTACTTATACGGTTGACGTCAAAAGCGGGTGAATCGATAGAAATTAGTAGGTTTATGCGTATCTTGTGTCAAATACATGACAATTAAATGCAATGTGCGATGTTAATCAACATGTTACTTTTTTTAAGTTTCCTTTTAGCATTGCTACTGGCTAATGCGGAGATTCATTTCATTAGACAATGTTGGCTACGGTCCTTGCAGCTGTGTACACTAGCATTCAGCGTACACACATATCATTGACGACGACCTTGCTGCCAGTTGCCGCACGCTGATAACGCGACATTTTGTTTATCCACCAATTCTCAATTGCTTACGTAATACACCAAAACAATAAAATAAAAGATTCCTTTATATGTGAATGTTTGACTTTCATCATACGCAAATGGACGCCTATATACTTTATTGGATTTAGGCATTATAATGCCTAAGTAACTTGGTACAAAATTTCATTGAAGTTTATTTTATCATGAATGAAATAAGAATTTAAAAACAAATCTGATACGGTAGTGTGTAAACATGTTCTCACGTCGGTGTCGTGTTTTTCTGAAATAAATTTATTAGCTAGAGATGCTGAATTAGTCATCATTGATTGTGCAAACGTTGAAGTCACAAAATAGTATAGTGGTATAGATCAGTTAGGCAATTTACACAAACAAATAGCTTGGCAACGTAAAGATGCCTCAACACTAGATTTATTTAGCTTAGGAAGTCTTGTTTGTCGTTTTCATTTGGACGGAGATGGCTCCACCATCTCGTCCTGTATGTTTTAAGCCAGCTAAAGAACCGCCTCAAAAGCCGAGAGATACATAATAGTATTTTGCGTTCTGCATAACCATGCTTTGTATCTGGATAGAATAGTGCGAATACTGTCGAAATTCAAAATTATGGATTTAAGACATGACTTGAAAATGTAAAAAAATATGAACTTTTTTAAATTTTCAAATCGTGTTTTCCCAGTTCCAGAATTTTGAGTTGCGACAGCACCTATTTGGTTTCATATGCGAGATAGTAACAATGAAAAGGATGCATCAACACGTCTACGGCAGCGTAAGAGAACGGCGGCGGCTATAGGTGCAGGCGTAAATGATGATTTCACTTTGTCGATATGTTTACAACGCAACGTTTTTTTTACGTTCCGTCCAATGCGCACGATGACGCTTCCAAACGCCTCGTAAATAACACAAGCATATTGCACACGCATTTTTTTACTATATTGCGATAAGTTATTGTAGGCCTTCGTGAAGAAACGTGGAGAAAAACAGAAGTATGGTCTTGACAAATTTTAAGTTATGCTCGGTTAGCAGCGACCTTGTTATTAATAAATATCAGCTAGCTTCATTTAATAGTGTACTTCTTTCTGGCACAACATTGTTGTGACGCTGTACCTAAAATTACACTTTCACAAATAAGTTAGCATTACGCGACCGTGATATCCGGCAATGTCGCGAAATATTGTACACTTACTAGTAACAAAACTACATAATTTTTTTAAAGTTAGTGCCGGATATCGTGCATAGCATTTAGGAATTAATGCTTTTTTCTTTAATTTAGCATTGAGGCAGGTCAGTATGATTTTTTACAAGCTATAAAAAGTAATGTCCGGCGCGACTCTAGCTGGAAGGCCGTCCCCGCGCCCCTCCTCCAGTCGTCTCTCCTTCATAGGTGATGTCATCGCTGAAATAGTCTTAGTGGCTTCGTTGTGCCGCGACTCTACCTTTATTTGGCAGTGCCACACTTTTTGTTACCGTTGAACAATATTTTTAACATGAGGCAATGGTTGAACTCATAATTGGCTTAAAAATACTGATTTTTTAAATGTATAATTTTTTAGTTATATGTAACAGAATAAGTTTAATTTTATTTTATAGCAGGAACAATATTGATACTACATACGTATAATAATAGCCTGTAAAAAGTGAAAACAATTGAACTTGTCGGATAGAGCATACTCAACAATTGGGCGGTCAACGAGGGTGAGGTGACCTTCTGACGTAGAGCCGTGCCGCATTAGTCGTTGTCACGGCCCGCCTGCTTTACCGAGCTACAATCAAGGGGCTATTAGTCTGCAGCATTATTCAAACTCTGAATTTCGAAGAATAATCATTTTGCAGTTTTTGTTCCCGCTCAGGTGGAATGACCTTCAGGTAGGTCGGTGGAAAGTCATCGAGTTCGAAACATTCCGGATCCGATGAGTAAGCTCGCGTTCCCGGTAATAATACTCACATTGACGTTCTTTGTTTTACTTTGAACGTCATTCCTGAGACGTGCCTACCATTATTGGCATCTACATATTCTGGTGGAGCAATGTTGTAGTGCTATTTATCATTTTGCGTAATATCGAATACAATTATTTTCATAATACTTTCTCTATGCGCGGCATACCTGCACCTGTTAAATGAGATAACGGGCCTCGGCAGCACCAACGAAAGCAAACGTGTATCCAACGAGAAAGTGCCGAGTGCCGCTGCGCCCCTCCACTGGCGCGCCTTCTCTTTGCATGTTACGCAAACGCAGCCAGAATGTAAGCCGATCGCGGAGTATGAATTTGCCGGCAACATCTATGTTGTTATAACTACGAGTTATGTATGTATTCCCGATACGCGGTTCAGGCAGGTTGGTTGCGCGAAATAACTGGTTTTCTTCGAGAGTCGTGCTTATGTTGCGGTCTAAGACCGCAATAACTTTGCGGGTACTTGGATTTGCAAAATGCAATCTTAAGTTCTGCAAACTGGATACTAAATCATCAAAGAATATCTAGAGTCCTACATTATGACTTTACGAGAATATCGGAAGGTGGTGTTTGAACCTATATCTTTTTTTGCTGGAAACTCCTACACTGCAACCTTGCACTCGACTATGATAATTAAACAATTAATGATATTTAACATACAATAGTTGGCAATCAAATGCAACGTTACCATTTGAGGCATAGATAAATAAAATTTTGATGTAGACCAAAACGTTTGCCACATCTCAGCTTGTTTGTAGTGGGATACAAGTAGCCTTGTACAACGTAATCTAACATTATAATGAAACATTAATCTGGCCTTGGCGGTATGGCTCAATTTAAAGTTAATACATCTTGGTGTCATGGCATGACATTGAGCTGGCATCGACCCACGTCGCCATCTCAGGACGCAGACGCGACCCGATTGGCGGGGGCAGCACCTTGCAACATCAGAATGCGACTGGAGCCTCCCGCCTACGGCTCACGCCCTACTGCCCGACTGAGAATGCTACCTTTCTATTCTAGGACACCAAAGTCATGCATCGTTATAAAAAAAAAACTCAACAAGGATTTGCCATTTTACTGTCATCGATTCTGTGCTTACCATTTTAACAGTGACATAATGAGTTTTAGTTGAAAATTGGAATAACAATATAAAAATACAACAAGCATTTGTATTCTGTTTACAGAGCCTGCCGTCGCTGCCGGCATCGCTGCATGCGGTACTTTTCTAGTGTCGTTCCATTTCGAAACTAGGTCACTGTGTCACACGGCCGCGCCAAGAGCCGCTATCTTTGAATTTTGTCAATTCACGTTACAAGTACTATGGGTGCACATATCTTAATTCGTGTAATTTTAATAATTCAAAGATTTTAAAATGGTTACGTCGTTCGATGGCCGTCCAATGTAAATAAAATGAGATGACTTTGAGAACTTTCACTTTATGGACCCGTCTTGTGTTGCGAAATATTTTGTTCAAATCACGAATTCAATTTCTATCTCGTATAAGATGCGATGATAAAAAGAGAGATCAGAATAATACATAGGTTCAATATATTTATTACAGCTAGTCATTCAATTTCTAATGATGTTATTAAGATAACTTTTGAAATAGAATTAATTTTGGTGGACCGTGTTTTGCCTGGCTTGACAAAGTATGACATATTATTTTACTTCAAGGCACTTCTTGAACAGGTTTTACGGAATCACTGCCTCTACTTAAATACCAACCACTGACTTATAAAGGAGTGGGAGTGTTAACATTAATTTTTCATTTTCTTTAGTGCCCCCTTGACAAGGTCGATCCACTTTAGAGGTCTTTTACGCCGAGGTGATCAAAAATGCATTTGTTGACCAGGAACCCGTTCTCTTTTTTTTTTGAACCAAGATTCAAAATGTTCCAATTAAAATTGTTTTACAAGATTTTGTAGTTCTTGTAATATATAATAAGATGACAATACTGGTTCATTATTTTTATAGTTACATACTATGGTGACCTGTGTGGGCAATTCGTTTAAAGCGATTTAAGTGCAAATTAAACCTCCGCGCGTGTTTTGGTGGCTCTTGTGAAATTTGGACCGCGAGGTCTCGCCTCTCACCACGCTGTCATGATGAAAAGTGAAACCGCGCAGCGTCACGCCGTGGCAACCATTTGATGCCGTTTGTTCCGGTACCACTGCAGGTACATTAATCTAATGTCTTCCTTCACAGCTAAGAAAGTAACGCTGCGGTTGAATTTTAAAATATGTTGAATAGCCAAAACTGTAGCGAATTGTGAACCACGATGCGAATTGTTAGCTACTGTTCTTAAGAACAATATCTTTGGTTTCTGTTATCTATCGACATTTTTTAATCGTTCTCACAATGCATTGTCTGCCTAAGAGGCGCAGCGCGTGGGCCTCGGGAGGGGGGCCGGCCGCAGAATGTAGGCAAGTGTGACAAGGACACACCCGTACTCCGTGCTAACACTCCCATCCAGTTTCTAAGGTGCTTGGTGCGGATTTCGCAACCACCGCGCCCGATGCACGCTCGCGAGAGATTACACCTACAAGGTAACCTAGCACAATGCTAGTAGATACCTCATGAATCGGTTTACTTTACACACGACCTACTATTTACTCGCTTCTATTTGCGAAGTCTACGTCTCCAAGGCTCCTTTACGAGTATAGTGTAATTCATGATGTCTGCGTTTTACTTACTCAAGTGTTCCAAAATCGCGACAGAAACTTTAAGGACCTTGAAATAAATGCATTGAGTAAGTATTTTTTCCGTGTGGAAATGCTGCACATAACAGTATTTCGTACGAATGTCCTTATTGCTGAATAAAGATTTAGCAAAGTGCCGCGGGCGCAACGTACAGCGAACGTGAATTAGAAATGCGACGGCCTTCCTCGCAGTTCGCGGCGAGGTGAGCTAGTAACTCAAGGCGAAACATCGATATTTGTTAATTGAGCTACTCGATTTAAGCGATTGATCGATAGAGCTCAACGTTGATCGTGATAACTAAATCGTGCCAATTGCTATTCATTCAATTGTTATAAAACTTATTGGTGCCATAGAGGAGCTTACTGCAACAGTAAGCGCTTAAAATATATCATTTACATTCATCTAACTTCGTGTTATAGACATTTTCTATATACTCTCTTCAGCAAACGTTTTAGTTATAAGTAAATAGAAAGAATATTTTGATATTATTTTAAAAGTGCTGTTTCCTTATAATGTCCACATAAAAGACTTCAACGAGTTAATTACGTAATATTGAAAGGAAACCTGTTTACCGTTGTAGGATTTTACCAACAATTGATAGAAGCAATTACGTTCATATACCTAAAGCATTTACTAGAATAACAACAACAGATACGAGGAAACCTTCAGTATGGAGAGTTAATATTGAAAGTGCTCAAGTTATAGTTGTCTTTGATATAATATTGGCTGCTTGCTGTGAATGCTGTTTTCCTGGTGTAACTGGGTTTGATTCCCTGTCATAAAACAGTACTGTGTAACATGATGCAACGTTATTTGATTTATTAGTTGGTATATTTACTAGTATTTAGCTTCCATAATGGTTAGTTGGAAGTTTCTTGGTTGCGTTTCTACGTCAAATAGGAAAAGACAGCCATAGTCATTACTATATTTCACAATCAGGCTTATGTTGTAGGGTTTTTAATTGTTGCGGAAAGTCCAATATCCATTTCAAAGATTTCGTTTCTAGCAGTGACGGTGCAGGGTGTACGGCGCACACACTTATTATTGCACCATTTGCACCTGAATTTTCGATCACTGGGGAAAATATAATTAAGTATTCCATTTTGGTCGCTTGTCTACTAAAGGGCGCCAGGGTATTGATTGCACCCGGGCGCTACGTGGGCGAACGCAGGCGCTGTTTTCTAGACCCGTTTAACTATAAACTAAGCAATGTTTCTCTGTTAGTATGTTACTCTCTTTCAGAATTTGATCCGAGTGAGCAATCTGTGTGTGAATTATATCCTTTTATGCCCGCAGTTGATAGTAAAATGATGAAGTACGTACCCTTGTAAGTGATGTGCAGGAACTTCAATAGTGGCGGAGGCGCGGCGGCGGTCGCCGGCCATGTCCGCAAGTCGCGCAAAATCCGTATCCACATCCGCCAACCTCGCAGACTTCCGTGATTCCAGCAATCTTATCTCTTCTAGTCTCTTCTTAAGCTCTATTGGCGCCTAAGGACAAGAAAGAAATGAGTCGTCATTACAAGTATTATTTTCAGTGAGGACAAATTATTAGACAACACTGGGATACAAAACAAGTGTGTTTAGATAACATTGAGTTATTCAATTACACAAATTATTTGAAGTCTTGCCATTGGGGGCAAAAAAAGAACACAGTATGGAACACAGGATGGAAGTATGGACAAGTTGGCTCTGTTATTTGTTAAAACAGTCGTGTTAATCTAAAGAAGAGCAAATCGATATGGGTTGCAAAGTTGCAAGGTCTATGTGAAAGGTTACGGGCGGCGTTTGTTTCGGAAAGCTAATGTGAAATCAATAACTCTTCTTCGAGACATTAATGCCAAATGATTTTATTATGTAATTACATTACACTATTTATTTTTATTTCCTCCTAACTAGTCATAAAAGTTGATCGGTTCATTTGACAACTTTAAAATTACCTTACTTTCTAAAATTTTAATTAACATAACTGACTCCCTTAATTTCACGAACTTCCGCGTTATTATTATGTCATTTAACGTTCATTAGCTATTACAGTGATTAAATTAAATATTGCAGGAAAATGTGGGTGTGGATAGATCAATACGCGCGACCTTCACGTAGTGACGTCATGACCGGGTAACCTGGAACGGGCGAGATGCGTTCTGTGTCGTGAACTTAGCACCGATCCAACTGGTGCGTGCCCGACATCGCACTGGGTCATTTAATACGATAATTACGTGCAAAGTGTGTACTATCTCAATACGAGAGATGCAATGTGTCAATAACGATTTGGCTTCAACTTAAAATTAAATGATAATATGAGATGTAAATCGTATTTTTGTATAAACTTAAACATCTTCCACACTGTTCATTTCCTGTTGTGGCGTACATTGCAAACTGCTTAAGTAATTGACACATAGTGAATTATTATTTAATATTATAGTCAGTGCTAGCCAGATTCAGAACAGGAAATGAATTGTATATGGCAAAATGTTATCGACACGTATAATACATTTCTACTGCATTACACACTTGTACGTAAACGCCTTTCCGCATAGCATGTGGTGGCCTATAAAGGTCACATTTTCTTGATCAGAAAATCATCGTCCGACTCAGTAACTAGTTGAACTTGTAGCGTTAACACTAGGAAGGTGACGCAGTCTATGAAACTCGGTCTCGGTCAATTTATGTGCAATAAGTAGACGAGTGGTTGACATTGGGTACGATTTCGACGAGGGCTTCCTTCTACGTACGCGTGATTGACATGTTACAATGGTGTGTGCGCGTACCAACTGGTTTACGACTACGTTTCTCGTACATACGAGTAGCCAAGCTATGTCACGTCATGACCAATAACCTTGTGACTGTTTAGTGAGCATATTTCTCTGGGCACGTTCAATTACTACCGGCTGCAAATTATTTTCATTCCTACATTTACATAGTTTGCATGTAGCACTCATATACGTGACATTCGTTTGCATGACGGCCGTCTGTTTCCGCAGATGTGTTGATTGTTTGGCAGTCAAAGGAAGTAAGTTATTGCTGTTCTATAGATAAGTATCTACTTCGTAGGAAAGAAACAAGAAGGAATTGTTGACTGCAATTTGATGGCAAAATAATGAAATTATGTATTGTGTCTTAATTGAGTGCAAACATTTTAGAAACCTATTGTTAATTTATGCTTAATCGGCGTCACACTTAGCCTTATTAGTTAAACTCATAATGTCCTATTCTAGAAAATCGTTAGCCTAAATTACAAATGATCACTTTGTTGGTTTAGATTGACAATTGCTGGTTGCTACATAAAAGCTGTGAGTGTTCCATCGCTGTGGGTATCAAAAGTGAGTAGGGTGTCCGGATACGAGTATTACGGTAGTATTACTGGCGGATTGGTTTTCCCTCGGGCTTCGCATGCTCGCAAGTGAACGGATCACATCATACTTTCACTTTTACACGATTTCGTGCGAGTGTGGACGCGCCGTGAGACGAACTGCGGCCCCTCACTCGCACCGGAACAATGAAAGTTGTTTTAATAAGTAAATCTGATGAAATGATTGCCCCAACCCACATTCTACCACTGCATGGGCTTCCACCTGATAATAACATAAATATAAGTATCTAAACAAAACTCACAATATACTGCTACTTAGAAGTAAATGAAAACTAACACATTTTGATTAGAGTGATCAAAAACTCGTATTTATTAAAAGTGGTTTCATTAAAATTATTCCCACTAATAACTTGCATATAAATAGGACGCATGCCAATCAGTTAATTAGTGCCGTTATTGCGTTTAGAACCGGCAGCAATACGTCTCTCTCATTCCTCGTCGTCGCCAACACGTTATGTAAAAAAGTGACAACTGTTACACAATAATGCTTTATTCGATGGCGAAACCTGGTCGCTTTGAAATGCCAGTGAAAGTCACCGAGTGACTTTGACATGGTAACACGTAATTATTGTAGAGTTAGACCTATTCACGTATTAACATTCCACACGTTGCAATACATAATATGTACCTATATCTATATACATAGCATGCTTGCAGGTGCAAATAGGTACTAAGACGTAGACAGCCGATTTTGCAGGACAGTTGGAAAATGGTAAGTGGCTAGGCAAGTAATTTACTCGTACAATAAGGTAACTCATAATACCCTGCTATTATGGCGAGAATTTTTGTTGGTTTCAGACCCTCCAATATTAAAACTCATTTAATATATTCTGGCGGAATTACAAAAATGAGTGTTATTTGAAATTGAGGTTCATGATCGTTGAGCGCGTTTCTCGTTTTGTTTTGCCGGTTGTTTGTGTAATCATTAACATTATACGATCACTAAGTAGATTTGCACTATGAATTCACAATTGAAGGTTAAGTATAGTCACGTTAAAAGTGCTTACCTTTTTGTAATATCAAAATTATTAAATCAATGAGTTTGGAATTTATGTAGTGCGTGATCCAATTACGTATGTGACATGGGTGTCAAAACTAATTAGTAGTGGTGAGCGGTAGTGAAAACGGCGGATGGGCCGAGTCCGGGTGTTCTTGGTTGGTATCTGGGTTGCGAAAGCTCTGTCCGCTCTACTGCGCATCGATGTTGCCGCACAAAACGGATTATCAATGCTCGTAACGCCTCCTCCGTGTTGAAACGTCGCATTGCAATGACCCATATTTTTGGACACAAAAAACAAGTTTTAGGTACATTAATGTGTAATTATGGACATTTTGACTACCTAAATCATTTTAAAATCTCAGTAGTTTATAGCAAATCATAGTCTTAAACAATTGTAGTGTGATATGTAAATAACGTAAAATATAGAGCAAATTAATCTGTCACTGAATAGCATGCGTGCGATCGAGGCGAGAGTTATTGATTGGTTTAGCGACAGCGCTGCTGGCAACTGACATTGAGTGCGGTGAGTCAATAGCTGAAAAAAGCCGGCCGGCTCGTTGCGCCTGCGTTGCAAGTGCGGCGGCTGCGGAGGCGCGAAGCCGGCCGGCACGCGGTGCCACCGTCGGCGGACTTTCGGCGCGCGCATACCGGCCGGCACTCGCTGTCGCCTTCACTTATAAGCTTAGACAGCTTCAAGGTGAATCGTATTTTATGATAACGCCCGCTCAGTAATAGCGTTCTCTTTCACATTTATATTGTCAATTGCATGGATTATGCAACGTTTGTTTTTAGATTAATTGAGACACATCGTAAGTCCATTGAGTTTTTATCCTATGTACAATAATGTCACTCATCATTATGCAATTTTCTAACGACTGTTCCTTGTAATTCGCAACCCATTTACCGCGTTACCGTTGACATGGGATAGGTACGGCACCGTCATTACGTATGCATATGCGACTGAAATGAACGCTGGCAGAGGCTTATCGGACAGATAGGACATCTACAGCAGGACAATGCACTTAGAATTCATTACCTTGTTATTGGTGAAACAATAGCGTGCTTCGCTTACGTCGACCGATAATAAAATTGCGGCGTCGTTCACCTGCCTTTGTTTGGTTTAATGACGTCGAATTACCCGATAGAGTACTCTATTTTTACTAATAGATTAAGGTTGTATTTACAGCTGCAAATGAGAAACAAAGAACACAGGGGAACAGATCTACACAAAGCTCACACAATGGTCAGATGTTTTGTAGAAAATGCATATTGTTCATGCAAAAATGCACTTTTTACCTGATCGCTGCATAGATTAAAACTAGATAGCGTCATGAAATATGGTGGACATTTGAGGGTCGATTATTCGTTCATTAAACATTCAGTAAGGCTGCACGGAGGTGGTTGGAGTCACGTCGACACGCATGCATAAGCAATTCGGTTGTCGAGTGAAGCTTGTGCACCAATAAATAGGTCAACTGCTCCGTGTAACTATAGGCCACAGTCGGCATTTGAGTCGACTCGATGTAGCGAGCAATCTAATCGTTTCGGGCGCTCGTTGCTCAACGAGCCGCTCCCTCTATCATCCGATACAGATGCCTCTGCGACATTAGCTAATGCGGTTTGATTTGTATATCACAATATTGTTATTTTGTGTTCGAATAAAAATACTGGATAACCATATAGGTCAACGGGATACGCGATGGCCGCATTCCAAAAATTCAAGGCAAATAAATGGACGTCAACGAAAATAAAACTTAATATTTTTTTTGTTTTAAATATCTGTATTTTCATAGTTAGTTGCAAAGTCTAGTTAAATTAATTTGACGTTCAAACGGTTCAAGTCAGATGCCAGAAATAAGCGCGTGGGTGTACTCGACTTCGGTCGCACGTGTTTGCAACAGTTATATGCCCAGCAACGTAGTGTTGTGCTCTCGATTTAATCACAGATCGTTTAAACATTTGTTATAAGCCCATAATGCCATATATGAAAATAAGTAAATGTATTCAAGGAATCATCTAGTTCCAAGGAACCAATTAGTGGACGTGAATGCAGAATACCTAAACCAATAATAAACAACAGATATGATTGCACTAGAGCTTAAGGTACTACGGATAGAA